CCTCTGCCTGTTCAGCTGAACCAATCCCCGTGTTTGATTAGCTTGCTTGAAGCACTATAGAAACTGAAGCCTGATAAAATATATAGCGCTCCCATCACAGTCATTATTTAGCAGGGCATCATGGTCATCTAAATCGTTACAGCAGGGCATATATCTTTACTAATAGCAAGTTGAAGGGAATTTTTGAAAGTCTGTCAAATAAGTTCTAGTGACTTGCTCATAAAGGACGTAGAAGCCGTTTTTATAGGGCTAGCATAGGCAGACAAAATAGTTTTGGGCTTCCATGGAAAGTTATTTGGTTCCAACTTTTGAATAATGTTTGATCTAATAACGGAGGCTAAAACTATTGTGGGAGTATGAAGTGTCTAAGCATTTGAATGTTCTTCGTGCACTTGAGTTTCTTATTTTTTTTAGATCTTGATGAGCCTTGAAACAACTGAGAAATTATGAAGAAGGATTTTTTATTTAAAGTAATATTAAGGTTGTCTTCATCAACTACTTTCTACCAGTAATTACAAGACTTGAATCCAGTCTATTTCTCATTTTTTACTGGCTCGGTAACATACAGCTCAATCAAAACACTAACCTTCGAAGTCCTCAGTTGACAAATAGTAGCAACATTCATTTGCAAAGGTTTTTCAAAGATAGACCCTGAGGAGTATAAAGTAGATTGGTTGAAGAAGTGTAATTAAAATATGGAAGATTTCATCCAAACATATGTGAACTAGGTTGCATAGGCGGATAAAATAGTGGTCCACTTAAGCGCTTGCATCATAAAAATCTAGGCATAGTATATATGTCTAGAGAATGGTTTGGTGAAGTTTGCAATTGACGATAGTCAGTTAGTAATGTGTTGATGATTAATTAACCCAACAGAATAATCATTAATCATGTTTTGGTTTAATGGTAATTTGCGATTGTCATCCAAATTAGGATGACCCAAAGAGAATTTTCTCACAATAGATAAGAATAGCAATCAAGCATGCTTAGCGATCTCCTTTGAAAAAAGTAAGTGCAGGTTTGTCTTGATATGATTATGGTTGTTTTTGATTCAATGAAGCCTATATTTGATCAAAATGAAAAGAAACCTAAGTCACCCACCCACAACATTCGCATTTAAGTTTATGAAAAGCTGGAGGTACATAATTTGATGATGTCCAAGGAGTCGAAATGGCCTTCGAGACGATAGGAGTCGTAGATAGTGGCCTAACTTGAGGAACCAATGTGAACCCCAAGACCATTGAAGGGAAAGATAGTGATGGAATCAGAATGGAAGAGTGTGAGACCCAACGGGAGTAGCTTACTTGCGATGATGATAAGAGTGATTAGGATATAGTATAGGGGAAAATTACTCGGAGTTAAAATCAACTATTGAAGGGGAAGGTACTCCAGGTTGCATGCCTTGGCGGCTCATCGGAAGACATCAGAAGCCACAGTGGCCAACAAAGCTAACTACAGGCGCTAAATATGCTCACAGGGATGGATGAATAGTGTATCAGTGGCTGCAAGTTTGAGCAGAGATGTGTGTGACAAGTAGCGACCACATGGAGCAGAGAGTGATTACTATTAATGTTTTTGAAGGTAAATTCGAAAGTCAACTTCCAGATATTGTTTCTTTAGTTTGTGGGCTCAAGATAAGTCTTGTTTTCTTAAAATTGATTTTGAGATAAAAGATTTTAGGGTTACGTACAAGATGTTGATTTCTGGAATTATTTGGTTTCGAGTAAGCTAAATCTAAGTTCTTGATGCTTCGCTTTATATACTCATTATTCAGAGGATGAAACTTAATTTAATTTTATGAAAACAGCTTTTACTGATATAATATTAGAACTATTATCCTATTATCCTCTTTCATCTAGCCATATAAACAAAAGGTAGTGACTTCTGTGTTTAACCATGAGCACTGTCACGGCTTTAGTAAATTTACGAAGTTGCTTGTTGTTGCTGAAGACATTTGCATTACTGCATTCTACAGTAGGGAATTTGGGCTTGGTTATAAGTTGTTTTGCTTAATTTTCTCTGATTTTTTAGTGATATTTGATCTTCAAGCCAAATTCACAGCTCTACCGACCTAACACATGCATGGCCTTAACTACCTTTGCATAAGTTGATGGGAGGTAGCAAAAAGTGTTCAGGAAGAGTAATTGGCTAAATGAAAAAGGACCTATAACAGCTCAGAAAAGAGAGAACAAGGGCCATTGTTAGGGTAATTGTTTAAAAGATACAACATTTTCTTTATCATCTGGAGATGAAGGATTAAAGGTCCAAATGCTAATTGGAAGGTAAAATAAGGGACTAATTCATCAAGTATAAAAATGACCGCTTCCCTTAAAAGCAACTGGATCTTTGTATAAGGAGCTATTTATATTGTAATAGAATACTACTGACTCAGATAGGACCAACTTTATTTTTGGGAATATTGAGTGATGAATCGTAAAGTATTAGAAACCTCCACCTTTAACCAATGAGACAGTTTTTTCAGAACTCAATCAAATGTATAATGTACCAGTTCCAACTTAATCGAAAACTACCTTGCAGGTGGTCAACTATGTCCTTGAGAAAATGGTTCTTGATAAACCGCTTGACGGTGGCAATTCGGACGGACAATTTGGTCTGGTTCCCGGCATCGGACAATCCCAGCTTGCATCCCTCGGTGACAGTTCCTTACGTGCAGGGCAGAAGTTATGGCAGAAGAGAAAACCTTCTATTGAGATTCTTTGTAACAACCAGGCAAGCACATTTAACTAACAAGGAAAAAAGATCTCTCTTCCCAATATATTTTCTTCGCATATTTATCTGTTCTATATTTCTTCTTTATTTTTCAATTATCTTTTAATTATCATTTCTGATACATTTTTCCAAAATTCTACTTAATGTAGGTCTTATCACCGGATATGAGTCTCGCAACTGTTAAAGCCTACATATGGAAAAAGTCAGAAGATTTGGTGCTGAATTACCGCATAGTCCAGAATAGATGATAATTTTAGGGTTTCTGGCTGCTGTAAAGGTAGGCTCATCACTTTAAGCTTTGTTTGGTTCAGTTTTTGTTTTGTTTTTTTTTGTTTTTTGTTTTTTTTTTTTTTTGAGCTATCTTATAAAAGGTGTTTTATAATTCCTTCTGAGAAAGTATGGCAACCAAACAGACTAAAAAATGAAAAAACTTCTTTCACTAAAACTGAGAGCAGTTCAAAAGCTTTTCTAAATGAATCATAGAACTGATATTAGGGGGTGTAAATGAGTTGAGTTGAGCTCGGGCACCCTTTGCTGGAATTTGAGTTTGAGTTTGAGCTCGAGCTTCAGTCTATAAATTCGAGCCGGCTCATGAGCCGTCTTTTATGAAATAGAGAAAATAATATTAATTTATAACTAGTGTTATAATAAAATGATAAATATATGAGTCATTAGGAGATAATTAATTATAAATCACTAAATATATAATATAAAATATCTTTTTAAATATTTTTAATAATTTAAAGAGTTTAATTTTATTATATTTTGAGTATATTTTATATTAATATTTTTTTTAAATGAGCTGCCTCACGAGTTAAGTCGGGGTTGGCTTGAGCCTAACTTCCTACCTCATGGAGCACAACTCATGAGCCATTTATCGAGCCTAAACCTTGCCGGCTGATGAGTCGGCCTGGCTTAGTTACACCCCTAACTCATATTAAACCTATTTTTTTATGTAAACTCTAAATATTTATGGGCATGTGAATAAGTGATAATTGTGTTATTTTGTTGCCAGGGACTTCCAGCTTGTGAGGTGGGAGAGCTTGTTTCAGCTATGTTGTATTATACCTAATGATTTTTTCTGTTCGCCTGCTGGTTACCACTGAACTACTCTTGTCCATCCAAATATTTACCAATGTGATCTATTGATAATTAGCCATGACTGCCTTCAGAATGTTACATGGTGCACTTGAAGTCTTCCAGTTATTTGACTGCAGCTCCTGGTGGAAGCTTTTAAGATGTTTCCAGAAGCTTCTGTCATGGAGGAACAAACAGTGAGGGAATTATGAATCAGCTTGCAGACCAGCGATGATGTCGACAATTGTAGAGAAGCTGATGTGATGGAGAAGCAATTTTCATGAAATAAAATTGGTTCACTATTCTGTTATTTATTACCAAAGCTCCTGCATTGCTCAAAACTTTGTTCAATTTTGATATCTGTATAGATTACCTTTTTTTTATGGTACAAAGATGATGTATGTAGATTTCTTTTCTTTAAAAAAAAAAAAAAAAGAAAAAAAAAAATTTGGGTTTTAATAAATTTATATGTTTGTGGTTCCTTCTGATTTATCATCCACCTTGAGCTTCTTCTTGTTTCTGCCTTCAGCTTCCCGTTTGTTCTGATTTTTATGGACGCACGGACGGACGGACGGATGTATAGACATAAACACACAACATCATCTTTCCTGTGCCGGATATATAGACATAAACACACAACATCATCTTTCCTGTGCATGAAAAGTGAAAAGGTATATATTTTTTATGGTATGCAAGATTTGAGTAACATAAACCATAATATATGTTTCAATAAGCCCTTGGAGTATTATCTCAACCCTTATTGATTGGAAAAATTATTGCATACAGACAACGCATGCAGAGATGCATGCAGTGTTTGATATACACCGTAGATCACGGTGATCTACGGTGAGGATGTAATCAAATTTTAAAAAAAATAAATAAAAAAAATTAAAGTGGGGTCCAATGAAATACTTTCTAACCATAGATCACGGTGTAGATCAGACACCGCATGCATCTTTGCATGCGGTATCCGTATGGAATAATTTTTCTATTGATTGAACAAAGTGGTACTGCCAAATTAATTTGCCATTAAATCTTGATTGGTGGTAAACTTAATTTTATATTAACTTGCTAATGATGGAAACATTGAAAATCTGTAAAAAAGAAATGGTAAAAATCGAAATGTTTAATTTCAAATTTTGAGAAATCTGATCAGAAATCAAAATTTATTTCTCAAAATGTAAAAGAGAAACCAAAATCCAAATTAAAATTACATGAATAATTTCAGTGACTTTGCAAATGAAATCAGAAAAGCATGAAGGGTTGTAAGCTAAAATTTTAAATTCTATGCATGGAATTGGAAGAAAAGAAAATGCTAAAAGATAAAAAAAAATCTAAAATGAAGAACTTGAATTTGATGTTATAAACTCTTGAATGAATCATGAATGGACTTGTACTAAAAATCTATGAATATATATATATATATATATATTAAAAAGAATGACTAGAGACTATTAGACGAGTCCCCGACCACTCCTAATGTACCTAATCACTCGAATACCGACCGCTTTAAGACATGAGTCGCCAGAGGTGAATTCGAACCCCCAACTTGAGGGAACTTACAACTGACATAGCAGATGATGTAGAAAGTTGGACTAAATTGTTATTTTTATGAAGCCACAAATCAATCAAAACTAAAATTGAGAATGAACTCCACTTTATTATGTGGAATAATTAACCATGTTAATACGCAAAAAGAGTATATAAACCTCTTATCATGTCATTCGTTCTCTTACGTAAACAGATGCAGCCTCATCATGTTCTCATGTGGATTTTATCAAAATGTAGTAAATATGTTATGTCAACATGGTGAAGAGGTTCAGCCCATTGAATAGGAGGATGACGTCCTTCGTTGCCATAATAAATATTAAAATTAATTTTAATTAATATAATAACTTTATTTTAATTGATTCAATAAAAAATATTTTAATTGAAGGGACTTCATTTTTTTTATTATTTTTAATAATATTTTAAATCAAAATTTTGATACATGATCTTTTCTGCATTTTGTAATTTAAAGGGCTAGTGCATCGTAATTCTGCGCATAAATGATTTTGAGCTTGGACCGAACTTTTGAACGACCGATTCATATTGGAATCATTCGAACGAGTTTTCGTCTTTAGGGATGAGTCAATTTGGTTTAGAACGAACATCTTCTTTGCTACGCATCTTCTTTTCCAAAGAGATCTGAAGGAAAGAGAAAACTAAAGACGAGGTTAGACAATAAATAATTTGTGCTGAAAAGGTAGCCAACAACTAGACCTCTACCCGGGGTCCCGGGTAGAAAGGACGGCTAGAATATCTCTTTCACTCTAGAGGTGGATATGATTTTTCTTGATTGGACTATTTCAGAGCCTTTTGAGCTCTTCCCAAGCCAAATATTGTGTTACCTTCGTTCTTAGTCAGGCTGTCATGAACAGTCTGATCCGATTCTTAAAAACATATGTTATGTTATAAGATTAGAAAAAAAAAACATGCAAATCTTAATACAACTATAATTTCTTCTTTAAAAAAATAAAATATTGCATTTAGTTTAGAACATTGCTCGTTTTTATTTTTCCATCATGTCATTTAATTTTTTTTTGCTGCACTCAAATCTTAATACAACTATAATTTCTTCTATAACATTCAAATCTTAGACATTTAAATTCATAAATTTGTTAGTACACATTTTCTTTATTTGATTAGAATGATATGGACGCAAATATATATATATATATATATATATATATGATAGAGCCAACTTTTGTTAAAATTTTATCTTCTACTTAATGAAATTAAAATCAATTAAAATAGCACAACCCTTCCAATCTTCTTTCTACCCTGGAAGATCTTGATAAGAACATTTCATTCAAAGCAGTTGTATAAATATAAGAACATATTGGTAACTATAAGATTGTATCAATCATTAATTTTTCTTTTGTATATACTTCACACATTGCATTAAATCAAAAAAGAGAAATAATCACACCTTTTTGATAACTACTATTATCCACCCTTCCACTCCTCCACTCCCCCCTCCCCCATAAATCTATAACTACTTGTGTAAGGAAACTTTCCACTCCCCCCTCCCCCCTCCCCCCATAAATCTATAACTACTTGTGTAAGGAAACTATTGTGAGTAAAACCAAGATTACATAGGCCATTGTTGCAAACATGGAGAGAACAATGGCAACTGCTACTTGCGCACAATATCGGCTTACCGACACACAAATTTTATCCCATCCAAAATGTCGGTTTCCATTTTCAGCCACAACACTTATTGCTGATGCTGCACCGTTACATGAAACAAGAAATATCATTGTAAGCAAGTCAGTGATCGTTAGTGGCAAATATACACCAGCCATTATTGCCTTTTTTGAAGCATAATAGAGAGCTATGGTTGCCAGTGAGTAGAGCAACGCGAGCACATTGATTACTATGAAATATCTGCAAATTAAAAACAATAAATTAAAAAAAAATTATTAGAAAAATATGAATTTCATTACCTACATTAATAGCTCTTACTGTGTAGAAGATTTAGAAAATTTTAAATTCAATTAATCATTTGAACAGTGGTCCAACTTCAAGCTTACATCTTTTTATGAGTGGTTAGTGATGACTAGGATTGCATGCACTTGAAAAATAGATGAAAGCATTGGGTAGTGATGACTAGTGGGCAAAAAAGTTTGTCCATGATTTGAAAGCTTAATTTAGCTCTACATAAAGATCTTATTACTTCTTTCATCTTCCTTTGTTAAATGAAATCTGATCAACTCTTCACCCCCGATGGAAATAGAATAGAAAGTTGTCATTAACTTGCGAGCTCAAGATATGGGTGTGATTGAATTGAGCTGACTAGTGAGCAAAGTCAAGTTCAATTCAATAATGGCACGTGAGTAATGCTCGAGGAGTTAATGAATTAAGTTAGAGCTAGGCTTCATTTGACTTGTCAGCTTGCTAGTCAACTTGTTTAGAAAATTTTAATATAATATAAATTTAAAATGTGGTAAAATTTAAGGTTTAAATACATAAAAAAAAATTAAAAATATTTATTACTTCTCTTTATCCCTTTGCAATTGATTTGTTATTATTTCTTTTCCTAAAATTAAACTAGTGCTCAAACTTAAAATGGAATAATAAGTCAAGCCCAAGCTAAAGCTGAGTTGGTTTCGAGCTTGGCTTAACTCACTTGCACTCATAGCTTTAGAGAATAGATGATGATAATGGTACTTACTTTAACTGATTAAAGTCTTGATTACATCATTAGTCCATTAAAAGTATTTGATGCACAAAATTTTTTAAATTTAGTGAGTGTTTGTCTCCAAATTTTAAGATAATTGACTAAGATTTGCAATTCACCTTCTAATATGCTATGAATCTTTTGTTATCCATTGTCATAACATCTCTAGAATTGCCCAAACTTTATCCAAATTCATTTGTATACTTTTATAATTGAGTGGAAAGACAAAACATCTTCTAGAACTGACTTGAAAAATGCATACGAGTGGACTTAGGTGCATGTTGTATTTTATTAGCATGATATCTAATGAATAATTGCCCCTATTATGCTTGAGTTCTTATGTTATGAGAAATTGGTTGATGCAAACTTGATAGTATTTTGCATGCACAACCAGTGACCCCACATTTATAAGTGAGAATAAAGGTCGATATTTCATAATTAATTATGTAATGTGATTACAAAGATAATATATAAATTAAATTATGTGTGATTATTTGTGTAGTGGATGAATTTGGTTTTTCAATGACTAATATTAGTGATTAAAATAATTATTAAATGTAAAATTTTCTATAAATATTTTTTTTTTAATAAAGACTATTATTGACTTCTCAATTGGAGGATTTCTCTCCACACTCACAGATATATATATATATATATATGATGCGTGTTAGAAAATTCGTGGTGGTAGAGTAATGGATTATCGTCTTAGCGTTGTGCGAGGATTTAGCACACACTCAGATGAAAATGAATCAACTTAATCGACCTCGAGGCCTATGCCTCACGTTGTTTAAAGAAAATGCCTAAATCCCTAATTTTACGTTTTTAAGCCTTAATATAAAATAAATAAATAACTATATAAATGAATTTACAATCAATTTTTTGAGTCAACTCAAATTAAATTATATCGATCCCAGATAGGTCAAGTTGAATTAAATTTCATTTTAACTCAAGCAATCAAATTAATGAATTTGAATAAATCAAAGTAGCTTGAGCCTGCAGAATATTAGTCTTAAATAAAACAATATTTCAGATAGCCCACATATCACAAATACAAGCCTCATTCACGCTCTTATCAATCTTTCTACTATTCAATCTTCTACTATTCTAATATTTTATTAATCCAATATTCAAGTTTAAATATTGGTAGCCAAGATGAGGCATTCTCAAGCACAAAGGCTTAGGTGTTCCAAATTCCAATAATTCCTATTCCCCTACCCAAACTGGTGACTACTAAGTCAGATCCACAGTCCCAACCCTTGCATGTGATTTATAATATTATTCAATGACCATTATTACCACAAAATTTCCCAATCATCTATTAATATACAAGCACATGGTGGTTGGTATTGACCTCTCCAACACTCTCCAGACCAATGTACCCATATTTCTGGAAATCAAAAGAAACACACAAAAACATTTTGTAGTCGCCACCTCCTCCATGGGCATCAACTCATCAAGGAATATGCACATGCTTAATTCTCCTCAAAGAGTTGGGAGTTTAAATAGAATATAGCACTATCAACATTAGAAAAATCAAGGCTTCATCTTATTTATTACTTTATCCTATGTCATATCCTTTATCTGTTTTTTCATGCTTATGTAAGCATGTTTGAACTTCTATTTGTTGGTCATACTTTTACTTTTTCATAAGCCTGCATTTCTAAAGGGTTCCCTGACAGGCATAAGCGATATGCCTGATCAACAAACAATGATGAATTAATATAAACATGTTGGTTGGTATTGACCTCCCCACTCAAGACCACTGTGCCCATATATCTTGAAATTGAAAGAAACACACAAAAACATTTTGTAGTCGCTGCCTCCTCCATGGACATCAACTCATCAAGGGATATGTGCATGCTTCTCACCTCGAAGAGTTGGGAGTTTAATTAGAATATAGCACTATCATTATTAGAAAAATCAAGGCTTCATCTTGTTTATTTACTTTAACCTATGTCATATCCTTTATCTATTTTTTCATGTTTGTGTAAGCATGTTTGAACTTCTATTTGTTGATCAATGATTGCTTTGGCTGCCTTTTTTCCTCCCTATGTATCGTCTATGCACACTCGTAACATGTGCAAGGTCTAAACTTCACGAATAAAGAAGACCGAACAAACAAAGACACTAAAAGAGAGCATTTGCAAGGTGAACTTTAAAAACACATAAGATTGCACAAAGACAGAGCTAGAGAGGCCAACCAAAAAAGATGGCAGCATAGATAAAAAGATGAATATATCAAAGTTATGAAAATGAAGTAGTGATAGACACAGGAAAAAAAAATATGAAGAGATATTGAGCTCTTCAAATCCAAAGCAGCGCATAGATGAATATAGAAAAGCAAAGATAGACAAATGAAAAAGGAGACAAGGGATAGATAGACTATATAAGAATGAAATTTAATATATATATATATATATGAAGAAATATTTCTCAAAGCCTAATTTAGAGAAAATTATGCAAATGAGGGAATGTATTTGAAAATTGCTCCATAGTTTTTTTATAAGGAATTTATAATTGATTTGAACTTATTCTAATTTGAAATTGTTCGAACCTAGTTGGAACCCAATTTGATTGTATTTTGAATCTTAATTTGAATGGTTCGTCATTTCTATCTCAATTGGGGAAGTTATTAATAGGGTTGGCAAATGTGTGAAGGAGACGAGTTCAAATGACAACTCAATGGGGGCTATCATCGACAAATTGATGACAAGCGACATAGAATATATATAAACTTAAAAATGGTAGTACAGATCTTAAGACAATCAAATGACTCAAATAAGAAGCTTAAAATACCCAAAATATTATGTACTAACCTCTTTAAAGCAAGAGCAATATTATAATTTACTTTTGACCATCATATCATCTATAAATAGAAAACTTTTTCATTTAAAGGGGTTTTTGGTTCCCCCCACATATAACCTATATTTTTAATGGAATCAAATGGGTCTACTAGGTCAGGAACACCCCATTCGCCCCAATGGGGCAAGTCCTCCTCAACTCCTCTCTCCCTCACTTTCTCTCCCTCTCTCAATCTCATTTTCTCGGTCCCAACACTTTATCCCTTGAGCACGGTCTACCTGACAAATTTGGATTCAACAGAATAAAAATTCAAAACATAAGCTCATTAGAAGAAAATTTAGATAGGGTTGTCAAAGTGTTATGGCAAATAACAGTTCGCAGCAAGGTATTATATGAGAGAAGACATTTATAAGAGTATTGCAAAGTGGAGGAGACAAGAAATTTGTGAAGGGAGGTTGCAAGGATAGACACTGATTGATGAATGGCACGTGGAGGACAAGATTTCACAATTCAAACCAATATCAATGGATTTTAAACCCAAATAACAACCCACAAATACAAGAGGTTATCAATCATTTAAATAAATTTTGCTAACATTACATTTTTTTTAAAAAATATATAATTTAATTAAAAAATAATAATTACTTAACAAGAATTATAATACATAAAATATTTTCACCTTCCATTTTTTTTTTTAATTTTAGATAAATCCTATTACATAATATTTAAAATAAATTAAATAAACATACGCCAATATATAAAAGCTGTCAAAAAATAAAACAAATGCGGCGGAAATCGGGAACTTACACCAGGGCAGAAGAATAGTGGGACTTCGCCGTTCCGGCGAGAGTCACCGGCGATCCGCCGTCATCAATAACCACCACCCTCTTCGTCTGCGCCGCCGTGCCCATCACGATCGCCGCCACGAACGTCAGCAGCGCCGCCGCCGCTCGGAGAGAGTTCGCGGTCAGCTGTATCGCCCTCGATGGCGGCTGACCGTCGCCGCCGTCGAGATGAAGCCGTCTCGCCGGAGGAGCCACAACCGTTGGATTATCGGAACGGAGATCCGATCGTGCTTTTGTCTGATGGTTCATAGATGGAAGGAGAGGGAATTTGGAATTAAAGATTTTGTGTTTGGGATTGACGGATGGAAGAACTTTAAGGGGTGGATTTCTTAGCGAGGAGGATGATGGAGAAGGTGCGGCGTCACCTGCGGTGAGATTACCGGTAAAGGTGAGGATTATAGATTTGACTTTGAAGTAAATAAATAATATTAATTTTATTAAAATGTAATCAAATTTATCAAGTCAAGCTGACAGATGAGGAAGCCCAAATGTGATTGGATGTGAATATAGTTGGATTGAAAGTCTCTCATGTAGTTCTCATGACGCGAACAATAAATATTACATAATTTTTTATAAGTATGTGCGAATAAAGGTAGATGTGATCGTTATTTCATCATAGTTTCACTTGTAAAGTATATCAGTTTTTTTCAATGATTTGAGGTCAAGGAAAATGATATTTTTTTCAAAAGGTAAGAGATCAAATAATTAAAGTTAGATGGATGATTTAAGGCAACCAAAATATTACTTGTCCTAAAAGCGTAGTTTGATCGGGTGGCTCTGAGAGTTATGTGCCAAAGAACGAAAATGCCCCTCCCAAGGGCTCTAAATAGACCCCTTATCGTCACTAGAGAGGAGAGGGGAAAGAGGAAGAGGACGAGCCTAATCCCATTGTTGTTTTAGAAAGAAGATATGACGATAACTTTTGGCCTCCAAAGTCACTGACCACTCGACCATCGCCTGGTAGGCACCATCAACCACCCTAGCTACCATCAAACACCGCTGGTCGTCGCCAACCACCATTGACTGCTCCTTGCTCGCCATCGTTGGTGGACTTTGTTGAGTAACTAAGGACTTTGCTGAGTAACGAAGTATCCCAAATACTGTGCAATGACATATTTCAAACATGATAGATTAATGAATCGACGAGAAGTCCCAATGACAATTTCCCTTGAGCGTTTTATTCTGAATACAATGAATCTTTCTGTATATGGTGTGTAGATAAACATTGCACTTGGGTGTAACATTGTAATTGATTTTCTGTTGCATGATAAGGGTCATCTTTATACATGCAAACTTATAGTAAATCATCTTGATTGAGCTATGTCTCGTGATTTTCACAATGATTTTAACAAATGATAACTCTAATATATTTAAATCGTTGCTCTGTCTTGAAAAATGCAATAGTCTGACCAATGTTATGTATTTTTTTTAATAAAAATTTTAAACATATAATGATACAATTAAACATCAATAAAGAATAAATAATCATATATTATATATTTCAAGTAGGTTTATTTATATGTAATACAAATAGGTTTAAATCTAACATATATTTAAACCGCAGTTCTGTCTTAAAAAATGCAATAGTCTAACCAATGTTATGTATTTTTTTAAATAAAAATTTTAAACATATAATGATGCAATTAAACATCAATAAATAATAAATAATAAATAATCATATATTATATATTTCAATTAAGTTTATTCATATGTAATACAAAGGACTACCAATTTTACCTTTCTATGTCAAGTTAACAAGTAAATAAAGCATAATCATAAGGAATGATGAGAGAAAGTATCTATTCAGCTGACATAAACTTATTATTATTTTATTTTATAACTTTCTAGCCCACTTGAAGTGATAACATAATCTTATTTTAAAAATGATGATATCCCACAACTAAAGTCTTATTTTTTTCTTATAATGCACAAAGCCTTGGTGCATATAGTAAAACATCTTCATTAAGAACATGATCATTCTGATTTTTCTAGCATACAATTTTATAATATTTTTGTGCCTAAAAATCTTTGATGCATAATTTTATACAATTTTTTTAATTTTTTTAAGACTTCACGTATTATGAGCTTTTTTTTTTAACATGATGAAACATGCTAGTAGTAACACATAATTATCATTCTCTAAAATATGAAGACATACTTTGCTTTTTTACTTTATTATTAGCCAAATCTTATAATGCTTATAATTTATCTTTAGATTTATCAAGATAAAATAAATTTTTAATAAAATTATCACAAATATTATTGTCTATATGTATAACATCCAAATTATGAAATAATAAGATGTGTTCCATGTAAGGCAGATAAAAAACATTGCTCCTTTTTTCAATTTCATAAAATCTTGTTCATTTAGTCATCAATGTATAGTATTCTCTTTTAGAGATTTGAATCTAGCTTTATTAACTTTATTGAGAAAACATTATAATTTTTTTTGTCTGATAGAAAACTTTAATAAATCCACTTAAGTGCATATTTGATTTCTTCTTTGTTATTAAAATGATTATACTCTCAATGAAATATTTTACTTATTGTTAGCCAAATTTGATATTTTATGAAGAAGAATAAATTATTTTTATATAACTATAAAAATTATGTATTTTGAGAAAAATAAAAACATAAAAGTTATATTTTTGCTCCACTCAAATAACATACCAGATTCAAAAATATTATCAATTGTTCATATGAATACTAAATACATATTATTAATTTGTTCAATTGTAGTATCATAGCATTGGATTACATGTTATCATTCACATAACATTTGAATTACTGGTTGAAGATAAAATATCAATGTCATTTCCTATATTTTTCTCTTCTTGCCTAACCATTGATAGAATAAAAGATGTTTGCTTTATTTTAATCCAATGAGGTGCATTATAAGTAATCAAAATATAAGCCAAATACTGCATATACTAATCTAAATCTTAAAAAGGTTGAACATATCTTTTCCTAAAAATTATGAGATTGAACTAAAATTAAGGTATGAAGAATCAAATAATTTAATGCTTTCCAGCAACTTGTTATTGCAATATGTTATCTTTATTTTTGTGTTTAGCATGATTGATCATCTATTTTGTTGATTTATTTATTTTAAATAATCTGCAAAGTATATAAAATAATGAAAAATTTTGAAAATCTTTTTATTACCATATTGGAGTTCCTATTCTTTTTAGAATGTTAATCTTTGGATTAATAACATATCTTGATGAACCATAAATATGGCATTTTCTTTTGATTAAAATTTTCTCTCTATAATTACATGCATTTGTTAAGACATGTATTTATGTATATATATCCAATATATAATGCTTTTAATATATTTTTACCTCACATGTGTTCTTAAGACTTCAAATATATTCAAGAAAGTATTGACCAATTACTATAGCAATGTAACAGAAACTCTCACAGTTCAAGAGTGTATATACTTCAAACAAAATAAGTGCAATATTAAAAATAGCTTTGAGTATGAATTTCACAAAGGGTATAACTAAATTACTCTTCCCCCACATTTTCGAATAACTTTAAAAGTTCTTAATCATTAATTGATGGATCTGTATTATGCTCAACATGCTCATCAATTAAGTTATAAAAATATTTATAGAATCAAATATATATCTCCCCTATTAATCCTTTCATATGTTATATGCTAGGTTATTCAACTTAAAAGAGTAATTGCTCAAAATTAGAAGCGGTAACAACTAACATTTTTGGCTTCTTAATCGATAATGATATTAATACTTGATAATGTAGTTAAGAAAATTTACAATCAAAGTTTGTAATAAATTTATAAAAACAATTTAAAGATTACAGTTAAGAATTCCATGTTATAGACTTTCAAAGTATTTCACAACTATTTCTTAGTAAATTATTTACAAAATAATTCAAATATAAAAATAGCTCAAGAATATATTTTAATAGAAATACTAAAGTAGGTTTTAATAAAACATATAAATTTTATAAATATGCTTAAATATTTAATCACTTGAGAATAATGTGGTTGACACTAGAACATACTCACGGTAAATAAATTTGAACTGTTATTATAACTTCACCCAAAAAATAAGTATTTTTATAAAATTTAATAGAAGATGGAGGTCCTTCAATCCTCGTTGTCTCAGAAGTTATTGTAGATAAAAAATAGATACCGTCCAACCATCCAATAATAAAAATTAAAAAAATAGTATACAAACCTAGGAACATTGTATTTAATGAAAAACAATTTGCTTCCCTCATGATAATAAAAGCCTGGGTAAAAGTCATTAATAATTTATTAAGTTTATCACCAAATGATAGATCTAACCTCATCTCATAGTATTACTGAAGCAAGTAGCTAGACTTTATTAATTTTTCCTATGATTATTATTTGGTCTCTCATCCTTCTTTGAAAAGTGTAAAGAACAATATCTTCAGGGATAGAATATTTGGTTTCCATCATATTTAGATCTTTAATATTGATAACACTTACTATAAACATAATGACAACAAAGCTGTTGGTGAAAGCAGGCATCGCCACTTGGGTGATACTTTCCTCAATAAACATTTATTCTCTTAAAATCAACGATAATAACAAAATTCCAAAAATAAAAATTGGCACCTTAAAAAAATTTCAATATAATATAGTAAAAAGAAATGAATGGAATACCAAGAGCATTAAAATTATGATTTTTTTTTTTTGAATGATAACCCTATATAGTTGAATCTTAAAATATACTTATCCATAATGTAATGCTAACCATTCTTTCACATTTTGTTGTCTCTTAATATATATCTCCCATTTTGGTACCCAAATCATAATATCCATCTTAGCACGATTACTTAAGCTTTAGACTGTCTTTAAAGTAGCCCCTGTTATCACCTTAAGTGAATAGATAGATCTTATTCCTTGACAAATAAACTATCCAATATTTTGTCCTAAGGCTAAACCTTAAACCATCTAACATATTATCTAGGTATTCTAATCTTATGCTCACCAAACTTTTATCAAGAATACTTAGTTGGTAAGTTTCAAATTTTATGGATTACTTCCTTAAAGCATATTTATTAGGGTTTAACCAAACTTATTAGAACTTTGAGGATAAAAAATAATAAACTATAGATTAATTTAGGAGAATTACAATAAGAATTTTTTAGATTAAAAGAATGATGGTGCCTCTTATAGCCAAATGCAATAAAATATTATTTAACGATGACTTTTTCTATAGAACACTCCTAACCCTCTTTTTTGTCCCACAAAAAAAATGTATACAACTTTTTTCCTTAGCAAGGAAAAAAATTAGAATTCATAGATTAATATTGTCAAATAGAGTTTATATGTTATACTATATTACTTTAGTGATACAACCATTTTCTAAGCTTATTATTGTTTATTCATTCATATTAATTAACATTTATTTTTTCACTCAATGCACTCAAAATGTATTTAGTTAATATATTTAATTATTTAACTTGCACAATATAATTTTCGTT